TGTCCGTCTTTGCCGAGCAGGCATTGGATTTCTCTGGAGTCGCATGTTGGAAAACACGAGCATCATGCATCCAGTGTTCCTCCCGTAACAAAAGGCATGAGATCACTTTTGTTTTTCCGATGCCCGCAGGGCTGTGAATCATCGCTGTGACCCTGTTAGCCGGAGAGAGTGAGTCAGAAACGAACCTTCAGTGTCAGCAGTGAAAGAAGGCCTCAGCTGTGTCTCCCTAAAAAAAGGCCTTTTTATTTATTATTATTTATTATTCTGAGATTCAAAAGCACATTAAAGCTCATTTAGTGTCTTAATATGATCAATGTGCTTCTTCTTGGAATCATAATTTATTGCAAAAGTCCAAACAGTTTTGTTCATTTTATGCAATTTCTTTAAAGTGGGCGGAGTTTACCTTTAAAAAATGATGTCACACATTAAAATGCACCAATCAGAATGAAGCAATGTTTTAATCAATTTTTTTTTTTTTTATTCTTGTCAATCAAATCTTTATTTTTTTTGATAATTAACATCATTTAACACAGTACAACAAGAACAAATAATAAAATATTGTAAATCCAGACACACGGAGCAGCGAATCCATTTAAAATAAGAAATAAAATCAATAAAATCAGGAAAAATATACAGACGTATAAACAAAAAATGTAAACATGTAAATGAAACACTTCAGACAATGACTTTTGCATTATTACCATAAATGAAAATAAGGAATATTTTCCTGTTTCTTCCTTTAAAACTGAGTCACTCATTAGTTTCTGTTATTCAACAAAATAGCATTTTATTGTGTTCGCTGTATTTTTTCTCCTAATATGCATGTTTCATAGTTCGTTAGTTTTTCCTAATTAATAAACCTCTTGCTTAGTTTATTAAAGTTTATTTTATTATTTGTATTTATGAATGAGAAAATCCCTGAAAATTTGAAAAACAAAAGCCTTTAATTTGGAATTTGGTTCCAAAAAACCAAAAAACCCGCAAGTCAAACCAAAAAACCCCCAAAATTTGTGGCACGACAATGTATAACAAAGCAGACACACACAGAGTCAAACAGTCTCACAGAAAAAAACAAAATTTATATTTTTTACACAAAATCGGGGCGCAGAACAGGGAAAATATAGAGTAAATTTATGATATTTTTTATTATTTATTACAAGACTGAGGACACGTATTTATGCTCTCTGAGTCAATACAGCTGTTGCTATATGCAAAATATTTCTTGCATTGTTATTTTATTGTATTCAGATGCCTGAAAAGAGGAAAGTACCCAGAAATGTTCTGTGGGAACGAGCCTTAAAGTCACCATGGTGGTTCCGTGGAGCAGAAATTGCCTCTTTTTGCATCGCGGTCCACAGGAACAACACGAGGAAGTGCACATCCTCAGACTGAGATCTGGGCTCTGATAGAGAAATTCAAAAAGTGTGTGTAATTGCTACACGATGGTCCTGCGACCACAACGTTCCCGGCTTGTTCGCAGACGTTGTTCTGGTTCGTGGGAGGCTTCGCTGCGACTGGCCGAAGGCTCCGGTCGGTGGGAGAGCTGTGGTCTGGGCGGACAGGTTCCAGATGTGAGGGTGGATTAAATTAAAACACGGCTTGAGAAAATCCTTGATTAAAAAGTCCACGTTGGTGCAGAGGACGGGGCTTCCTTTTCTGTCATGTCAGAACTCTGCTTTGACCCACGTGATTCGCGCGACAGCTGCAGCAGCCGCGTCGCTTCGAGATGAACCGACGGCAGGTGCCCTCAGTGGGAAGCCGACCACCCGGCACCGAGCAGCTCCAGCTGGATGAGATCTCTCAGGATCCGGGCTTAGCTGCAGCAGAACAGTCACCATTCACACAGCAAAGTCTGTGTACGAGCGTCGCTAACATGTGTTCAGGATTACAGCCTGCAGGCGGTTGGTTATGAGCAACATCAGCAGGTATGAGGGGAACAAAACACAAAGTTCTCAAACAGAATTAGAGATTGAACCACTAACAACCAAAAATGCACTGCTGCAAACCATAAAACATGTCTGTAAACACGACAGTTGTTGTTCATCAGTGCTTTTCATTAAAGGCAGCATTGAACTGAAGGTTTTGGCCTCTTGAGGTCAGATTTTGAGAAATATTCCCCTTGAAAAACAGTAAATTGCAGCTTTATAGCTTAATTGTGTCAGAAATGTGACTATTCTAATGAAAAAAAGCCAAAAAATACATCTCACAGTAAAAGCCGGGCTCACAAACGTCTTGCTTAGGCTGGAAATTTGGTTTTAATTTACTCTCTTTGCAATTTATGATACTCAATTAATGCTTCATTCTTTGTTTTAGCTGTGCTAGCATTTCAATGTGAGCTAAATAACTCAGTTTGTACTTTTTTATGGTCAAATATGTGTAAAACAGATGGCTTTCCTCTCAGTCTCAGTTGTTTAGTGCTAATTAGCAAATGTTAGCATGCTAATATGCTAAGCTAAAGTGCTGGGCATGGTAAACATTATGCTATTTCGGCTTCGGCATGTTGTCACTTAAAGCATCTTAGCAGCATTTAGCTTTTCTAGCTTTTAACCTTAGCTGTTTGGTGCTCATTAGCAAACATTAGCAGGCTAAGATGCTAAACAAGGATGGTGGACATGATAAACAATCTGTCATGGCAGCATGAGCATGCTAGCATTGTTATTTTAGGCATCTTAGCAACATTTAACTTAAGTTCAGTGTTAGTTCCATATGACATTCGCTGTTTAGTGCGAATTAGTGAATTTTAGCATGCAAATATGCTAATCCAAAGTGCTGGGCATGGTAAACATTATGCTATTCTTGATTTGGCATGTTGTCACTCAAAGCATCTTAGCAGCATTTAGCTTCAGTTAATTTCTGCTAAATGTGACATTCCTTAGCTGTATGGCGCTAATTAGCGAACATTAGCAGGCTAAGATGTTAAGATAATGAAATGAAAAATACTTTATTTATCCCAGAAGGGAAATTCAATTAGATAGTGAACATGATTAACATTCTGTCACGGCAACATGCTAGCATTGTTATTTTAAGCATCTTAACAGCATTTAACTTAAGTTCAGTGCTAGTTCCATATGACATTAATTTCAACCTTAGCTGTTTAGTGCCAATTAGTGAATGTTAGCATGCTAATATGCTAATAAGCTAAGATAATGGGCATGATCAACATTATGTCATGGCAGCATGTTTATTGTTATTTTAAGCATCTTAGCAGCATTTGACCTCTGTTAACTGTTAGTTCAATGGATTAAACAAGTATTCTGCAGATTATTAATTAAACTGGAGACAAGACTGAGCAGCTAATTGATAAAAATCTGTTTTGTGAGAGTTTACTTGCAGAAATGGCAGTTTCAAGTTTGGTTGGTGTAGTTTATGATTATAGTTTTTAAGTTTGCTAGGGTTTTTTTGAGTTATGGTTTCCTTCACTTTCTTTGCTGACATTCACATCATTGAGAAACTTGGGAAAACCCGGCCATCGATGACCTCTGTACCCCTCTAATGCACAGATTATACTTCTTGGTCAGCTCCTCATGAATCCTCAGCGACGGCCCCAAAGTGTCTGCAGGGCCAAAACCCCGTTTCTCCCTTGTGATGTCGATTTATGAGAATGTAATCGTCGGTCTGATGGCTGCTTCTTATTTCCTCTTGGGCTATTTCCGTCTCTGGGAACTGAAACATCAGCAGTTATGTCCATTAATTTGATCCATTCTCTCAGCCTCATGGACGCTGCAGCAGAAAAAGGCTCGTTGTATCTGCGCATGTAGATAATTTAGGCGTCATTGTGCAAATCTGTTTGACCTGCAGGGTCGACGTGGTTTATGGTTTGTTGCTACAGAGGCACTCGTCACGCTTCGGTTGAGTTGGCAGCTGGTTTTAATGCAGATGTTGCACCTCCTGCAGTGGCAAACTTTGGCATTTTAACGCCTCCGTGCTTGTGTTTTGTCTTGACAATCAGTCAAAAAGAAAATGCTGTTAGAAAAAAACAACTGCTAAGCTGCAAATCTGTGGAAAAAATAAGTTTCTGTATGTTTTTGTACAAAGAACTTGTGATTTGCTGATCATTTCTGTGTTTCAAGTTGTTGTCACTGTGAGCACCTAGCATGCCGATGTTAGCATTTAGTTTCAGTTTAATGTCACTTTCAGGTTATATTTTGGTTCATGACAAAATACTTGTACAACTATGACGTTCCTATTAGCCACTGCTGTTCAGTGTTAATTACTTAATGTTAGCATGCTAATATGTTAAACTGAGATGGTGAATTTCTGAAGCATTATGCAAAGCTGGAATGGCATTGTGAGCATCTTAGCTAGCCGACATTAGCATTTAGCTTTGCTTCAATGCAATGTCAGGTCAACATGGCATTCGTGTCAACCTCAATTGCTAAATGCTAGTTATCCAATGTTAGCATGCTAAGCTAAACCAGGGGACAACGTAAACATCATAACAGACTAGCATCAGTGTGTAAGCATTGTCACTGTGAGCATGATAGCACACTACTGTTAGCATTTAGCCTTAGTTGATATAAAAATCCTCAAAATAGCTTTAAATACATATATTTAGCTTGAAAAAAAGTGAAATAAAATCAACTAATACGGTATAGAGCTATAATGTTTTGCCACAGAGCTGCTAGCGTGTCTGTTAGTCCTGTTTCCGTAGCAACTAAAGCTACTGAAAATAACAATTGATTATTCATCAATTATGGTGGTAATAAAAGTAAACTGTATTAATTCTCATGTAATTTATGTTAAACAGCCTTACATTCAGTTCGCTAACAGTACCTAGCATTAGCCAACATAAGTTAACTGTATCAACAACAGCTTATTTTATAGGAAAATGGAGATTTCAGTATAAAATGTTTAAAATTACTTAAGTAACATTTTTGCTTTTTGAAGGAAGGAAATCATAATGAATGTCTCCTAACAGCTAGTTTTCAGTGGTTGAAGAGTTTGTTCTGCATCAGCTCGGAGGCAGACTTGATTCTAAATCTCGATTTCCTGTTTTGCAGAAGAGAGCGGCGTCTCTTTGCTGCAGCTGATCGGAGACCCGCCACCAAACGCGATCACCAGGGACTATGGGCCGAGCGGCGAGACTGCCTACGTCTTCACCTCGGCGGCGGCGTCGGGCCAGCCGGCTCTGGCCCACGTCCCCAACCCTTTTTACCGCCACTTTTCCCTCATCTTTCACATCAAGCCCTCCAGGTCGGCCGCCTCCGTCCTGTTCTCCATCACAGACGGACCTCAGAGGCTCATGTACATCGGCGTGAAGCTCAGCGCGGTGCAGTCGGGCCGCCAGAAGGTCCAGTTCTTCTACACGGAACCCGACTCCGAGGCGTCGTACGAGGCGGCCAGCTTCACCGTGCCGAGCCTGGTGGACACCTGGAGTCGCTTCTCGCTGGCGGTGTTCGAGGAACAGGTGACCTTCTACCACGGCTGCGACTCGGAGCCTCAGGTGGTGAAGTTCGAGCGCTCGCCGGATCCCATGGAGCTCGACAGCGCCGCCGGGATCTTCGTGGGTCAGGCAGGAGGAGCCGATGACGACAAGTTCCAGGTGACCTTCAAGAAGACTTAAGATGTTCAGGAGAAGTCTTGTTTTTGCCGATGCTTCCCTCCTTTAAGTCCCTTCTGTTAATATGACGCCATCTAAAGGTGTCGGCTTCTTATCTGAATCAACAATAGTCACAATGACACTCTAACTGGGTCGGACCGAGCCACATTTAACTTTTAACACAATTTTTTTGGTCTGAAAACATCACATTGAACAAAACACCATCTCTTAGAATTCAATCTTTACTGCGATGAAGACAGATTAATGAGACTCGCCAGGAAAGAAGTTTAGTTTGTTGGTTCCATCTGTTTGTAGGAGTTGTTCCTGTCATTTTTCTCGGATCTTTCAGTACTTTTACTCAAGTAAAGCACCACAAAACTTCATCTCTCGCTCCCTTCTAGAGATATCGTGTAAAATTTGCTTGAGAAAAATGACGCTTTGAAGTTTTCCTAACACCAGAGGAATCCAGTGACGGGTTGTCTTTACATCCAGGTGCTAATGCTAACAGCTAATTTAGCATCTTTTTAATGGTGTCAAAATACAAACATAACAAATATAACTAAATACAAACAAGGCTAAATGACTCCCTTCTTTGTGCTTTGACACTTTAAAACCCACTCGAAAGGTAAATGCATTAAAATTTTGACAAAAAAAGAAATATTAAATACCTTAATTAGTAATAAAACCTCCTAAACTGCATGTAGCTATAAATTTTCTAACAGCAAGACATATTCTAGTATTATGAGAATCTTTTTTTTAACTCACACATAAACTGAAGATTAAAAAACTCATCCTAAATTTTGCACCACTATTTATCCATTTCCTGAATTTTATTGTGTTGAATTAGTTTGGTGACTTTAAAGATAGTAGCCGCTTGCTTTGACATTTATATTTTTAATTAAATGACATTAACTCGTACAGATCTGCTTTCACTTTGACATGAAAGAGTCTTTTTTGGTAAATTCTTATCAAAAAAAAGCCAAATAATAGTTGATTATGATTCAATGTTGAGCTTAAAAGTTTAAAAAGGTAAAACTTCAGAATATGTTTTTATCAACGTTGTACCAAGAGTAGTTTGTTTTTCACACCAGCATTTGGAGGTCGGGTCCGTTTCCTAACAATAAACTGCAGCAGAGGAAATGAATCAAGTGTTGAGGAGACGTTTGTGACAGAAATAAATAAGAAATGTGGCCCTGGGGACCCAGAAAAGTCCAAATAAAACAGGTGTGTGGGTTCGTAGGTGGACGTCTGACCTCGGGGTCGGGTCAAATGTCACTTTAATATCCTCCTGTGGCAGGTTTGGACCTCGCTGACCACATGCGTCCGTCTTTTGAAGTGAAAACTGGGGAATAAACTGATTTAAGTCTCGACAAACTGGACGCCTCTTGAAGCTGAATGATGTGTTTTCAGGGTTCCATCGCGGAGCTGAAGGTGGTGGGAAACCCTCGGGCGGCCGAGCGCTTGTGTGACGACGAGGACGACGCAGACGCTGTGAGTTTTGAAATGTTTTTAAATTATTTTCTAATAATATTTTGAAGGCTTTTCGGTGACATCTTTCTCTCTGAAGGCGTCTGGCGACTACGGCAGCGGTGAAAGCGACAGGAGGCAGTCGGGACATTCAGCCAAGGTCGGTGTTTGTCATCACTTTGCTTTTTTATTCATATTTTAATGAGGAAGCAGAAGATTGTTTTTATCCTGAAAAGATCTTCACCTTGTTGATTTGTTTCCTGTTTAAGCCTCAGAGCCTCGAAACCTGACAGCAGGTTTGAAAGGCTTTAAATAAAATCACCTATATGACACCGTTTATCGGAGCCAGAAACTATAAAAACAGAAAAGAATCGTCACCTTTCTAGCAGCAGCTCATCAAAACCACTTTATTCGACATGTTTTATTTAAAAATTTGCCAAAAATAAACCGATTGCCTGAAAAACATTCTTTAAAAAACAAAAAATTCTGCGTTCTTCAGTGCGACTATGAAGCCATGAATGACTCAGCTGTGATCAACAGTCACATGACAAAAATTAATGAATTTTCGACTGAACTGCAGGCAGTGTTTACACTTAACGGATAGGAGAGAAGTATGGAAACGGAAGTAAAATATCTTTGTTATGCAGAGTCTCTTATCATTTCTTTCCAGTGTTGGTAGCACATGTATGTTTCCATAGAGGTGCAGTGAAAATGAACCCACAGTGAGTAAAAATGTGACAGGAGCAAAAAAAAAAAACCCCAAAAACCTATTATACGCGCTTTAAAATTATCTAAATTTTTACTTGAGAAAAAAAAATTACAAACTAGAGGTGTGAAGAAAGTGTGCATGGAGGAGGAAGGGGAGGGTTGAAATGCATTATGGGAATTGTAGGCTGTTTGACAGACTGATTTAACAGATAAAAAACATCAACTTGTGCAGCATATTTGTTGTTTCTAAGAATTATCTTCATATTGAACATCTGCAGTTGAATCCTAAATGATCTGGAAGGTACAAAATGTATTAAAAGAGAGATAATAGATCATGTAAAGCTTAAAAACAAGACTTGAGCTCACCTGGCTGAGCTAGCATCCCATGTACAGGGGCTATAGTTCCCGATGTGGTGGTCATGGGTTCGAATCCCACTCATGGCCCTTTGCTGCAACCCCTTCCTCCATTCTCCTTCTCCACTTTCCTGTCTCTCTTTCGACTGTCCAATCAAATAAAGGCAAGAAGGCCAAAAGAATAACTTAAAAGTAAATAAATAAATAAAGACTGTGTTGCAGAGAAACTGAGCCTCTTAAAGGAGCTGCAGCTTCACTGTCACTTTAAAAGTCTAAACCTGAATGAATTCTTGTTGTGTTTGTTATTTTGACCGACTCACGTTCTTCAGTTTAACAAACACTCAGGTTTTAATGTGTTCTCCGGTTCTGAAGAATTCCTTTCAGCTGTTTTCTTGTTAAAAAAATGTCAAATAAGTTCCAGGAAGTGGACAGATATGCACATTTAATCAATTATTTACTCTCCTTCAGTACCGTTTTAATTTATTTTTATCAACAAAGATTTAATCGTCAGACCTTCACGAGGGAAAATTCTGATACAATCAACAAATATTGGGGGAAAAACAGTCATGTAGCCGTATAATCTGCTCATGATTTTACCAAAACGGGACTTTTTTATTGTAAGGAATACAAACTAGCTGCTCTTTAGTCACCTGATATGAATAAAAACGTCAAAAAAGCCTCATTAAATATATCGATTATCACCTTTTTGCAGCTTTTGTGCATAAATACTGGTGAAACTTTCATCAGAACAACCTCGAGCACACTTAAAAATCAAAAAACAAACTGAAAATGTTCAATGTGGTTGCATGTAATCTGGAATTTTATGCACCTTTATGTAAGAAGACATTTTAAACGGCTGTCCTCTGCCCTGTTTTGTCCTCAGACCACCCCGGCATCCTTCCGTCCGGTGCCCGAGCCGCCGCTGACGTCCTCGCAGGGATCCAGAGTCAAAGAATCAGGTAAGAAAAACAAGTGACGGCACATCTTCGGCGTGTGGCTGCCAAGATGTTGAGCGGTGTAACTGTGCTGTGGAAATGTGTAATGGAAGTTTTTAATCATACGGCAGCCGCTGCCAAAGAAACGTCTTGCGGGATCACAGAGCTTTTATCCAGAAATATGTGCACGGAGCTGCTTGTCCGGACCTGAAAGTGTGACAGAGTTTATGCTACAGCGCTCCAGCTGCTTAGTGAAGCTCTGCAGCGCCTCCACATGGAGAGACGAAGGACTTTATACTATAAGTTCCTCACAAGGCGAAAAGAAACATGCATTTGGGTTTAAACTCTCCTTTAAAGAGGCACAAAAACAGGTTAACTCTCTAAACCGTGTCACTGTGGGTTCATTTTTCACTGCAACTAAAGTCCTGCATCTCCATGGAAACAGAACAACCACGAATAGAAGAAGAAAACTGTTTTCTGTGCAGGATTAGACAGTTGTAATGCCATAAATTGTGTTTTTTTTTAAAGAAATAAGTGGAATTTGTTTGATTATTTGATCAAAAGCTCCACAAAAGAATCCCTACGTCTTATCTAGAGGGACGATCTTGTTCATTAAAAGAGAAATTAAATGTAAAAGCCCTCCTCTGTGCAAAATTACACTTTTGTTGCAAGATAGAGTCAAAACATGTTGATTTCTAAGCAGATTTGTAGTAATGGTAGTACAACAATGTGGTGTACTTGGGTAACTGTGTGTATAAAATCAAAATTCTTTACAGAAAACACCAAAACTCTCAATAGAACACAATCACATGAGAAGAAAGGAACGTCGTAAATCCATATATCATGAAAAAACAAACACAACTTGCTTTTTAATATTTATTTTGCATTTATTTTGTTTTATTTTATTTTAAGTGCCCAGTGGTGGTAACAGCACTGGAAAAAAATGACGACTCACACACTTTAATAATAATATTTCTAACATTTTTAATTAGTTTTCATACTTGCCTCCTTAACGCTAGCCAAGACTATCTGAATTTTAACCATGTGACTGTTGATCATAGCTGAGTGGCTAATAGCTTCACGTTTGCTGCAAAAAACACAGAATTTTTTTGTTTTTTAAAGAATTTGTTTCGAGGAAATGTTATATTTTTGGCAATTTTTTAAACTAAAAATCACGCTTTTAAGCTGATACTTGGTTAAATTTTCGAGTAGTTCAAGGACCGTCAGAAAGTAGAATTTTCAATGATTCTCTCTGTTTCTAGCTCTGATTATTGGGGATTTGTTTCATGATAAGTTACGAGTGTTTTACATTAAAAAGCCCAGTGAACCCTGACAGACACCAGTGAAGCAGGTAAAGACGTTTCTGTGTTGACTCTAGACGGCAGGTACGAGCGTCCGTCGGTGGACGTCAGCCGGTCTGGATCGCCGGGCCCCAGAGGTGGGTCGCTGAGGGCCGGGAGGATGGTGCATGTGGTTTTAGCCAACATGTGGCCATCCTATCCCAGCATAGAATGAGCTCTGGCTGCTGGACGGTTCTGTTCTGGTGGGGTCTGCTGCCATCTTGTGGTTGTTTATCTGTCCCTTGGTTACCATGGCAACAGATGTTTGTGAAGTCTCCGCTTCAAAGTAAAGCCTTGCAAGGTGTTTTATTTTGAAGGAGAGGCAGACGAAGACTTGACAGAATCTGATGTGATTGCTTTCACATTTTTCTTTTTTCCTTTATTTTTTGTAACATTTGTGGAACAAACACACCCGCAAGTACAATAAAAACTACAAGTTATAAACAATCAGCTGTGTTAAGAGCAAAAATAAATGCATTCACTTACCAGCATCTTTTGTAGAAACGCTGCTTCTTTTCGCTGTAATAAATGTTTATTTTCCTCACAGAGCTGCATTTTAACAAACTGCTCCCTTTAACTGAAAAAGTAAAAACTCAGTAAAATGCTGCAACATTGAAAAAGTGTGAAAAAAGTGGTCTAATATCTGTTTGTAGGGGATTTAAATACAGTACAAAATAGAATAATTTATGGTAAAAGTTGGGGAAAACATGAATTAGTATATGTAAAAATATAGGAGGAGAGACAGGTAAGATTTTTATTTATTTTTTAACAATTTTTCAGTCCTTCATGGAAATAAATTTTCTCTTATTCAGCTGCAAACATCTGTAAAATAGTTATATATATTTGCTATTTTTTTTAAAATACGTTTAAATGATTTGTTGAGAAACAAACTAATGGAAAAGGACAGATATTTTTCATTTATTTATTTTTATATTATTTACAGTTGGGTTTTTTTTTTACAGTCAACATGTGCATTCATTTTTTTGTGATTTTTATGGGATAAATAAGGATAATCTGTAATATAGCAATTTAAAAAGACATTTAACCTTTTTAAATTCTTGACATGAATAATGTTTAAATAATAGCAGATATCTGTAAAATAATCATGTTTTCAGCTGATTTAAATGGAATAAAGACTAACTTTGTGGTCAAATGTTGTGAGAGAAAAACTGCTATTTGTAAAAACATACTTTTGATTTATTCATTTTTTATTTATTTAAAAAAAAATTACAATTAACGTGTTAATTTATAGGATTTTTTGTGATTTTCTAGATTTTATGATATTTAACACAACTGAGAAAATCTGTGGAAAAAAAATCCAATACATTTTTTCATTTATTTATTTCTTCTTCTTCTTTTTTTTTTTTTTGAAGCATCATTTTCATGAAGAATACCAGGTAAACAGGGAAAGATAACAGCTACCATAATATCCATTATATCAGGGGTTTCAGGTTTTGTTGAGCCGGCTAACCCAAAGAAAGCCTGACTGTGTTGAACTTGCAAAACGTTTTAATTTTAACACACTTCTGCAAAGATTCTGTCATTTGAACCATCCACTGAGGTAAAGATGTGCAACTGACATTTGTTTTGAACGATGCAGTAGCGCCCTCTGCAGGACGTTTTCCTGCATTGCCAACTCCATCATACACATTATATTCTACACAGAGGAAACAAACCTCTGGTCTCTGTTGGATTCTTTCATTAAACACTTCTTCGTCCTTTGTTTTGTGTTGTCGGTGCTGAAAAAGTGAAATTATTGCTGGTTTTGTTTTCACAATAATGGTGACTTTGCTTTGTGGTGCCGGTGGAGGTATCGATCGTTGGTTTCTGCTGATCATCATTGACACAATCTGAGAGTAAAATTGATCATTTATGTTACTTTAGAACACAAGAGGAGATGAATTTCACATTTCTTGCGCCGATAAATCTGTTAATTAAATGTTTTTTGTGCATCTATTTGTAAGTAATATCTCGCTTTGTGTCTCTCAGGTCCCGGCGGTGCTAAAGGTGAGAAAGGCGACCGAGGGGAGAAAGGCCTGAGGGGGGACCGAGGCCCCACCGGACCGAAGGGAGAACCGGGCTCTGGCTCTGGTTCTGGTTCCTCTTCTGGGGGTGGAGGACAGAAGGTAGAACAGCCTATAAGTGTGTCATGTATTCAGCCACAGATGAGTGACATGCAACTAACACGATCCATTTGTTTCTTGTTTTTCAGGGAGAAAAAGGTGCAAAGGTACGTCGGAGCTTTTAATCTTTTACTGTAAGTTTTTAAAAGTGATCAGAAGTATTTGGACAGGTACGTATTCTTTGTTAAGGGTTCCTGTCCAATTACTTTTGATTACTTCTAGTTCAGTGTATTGCGAGAGCTGCACCTCCAACACAGTTCTTCCAATGCTGATGTAAACAAACTCAAATTAAAGATAAAACTTGGCACTTTAGTGTTGTATCCACTGTTTTATTTCAGTTTAAATATGATGCAGCAAAACACAGCAGATTAAATGTGAGAGTTTATTCCTAACATTGGAAATAACTGCGAAATAATCCATATTAAAGGTCCATTTATCGTATTTTTCTCCGGTTTTTAGCCAAATCTTGTTTAGTTTATGTGAATATTCAGCAACTGAGCACTTTTAGGACTCATTTAAGGGGACGTGTAAC